ACACACACTCTCTCTCTCTCACACACACACACACACACACACACTCTCTCTCTCACACACACACACTCTCTCTCTCTCTCTCTCACACTCTCTCACACACACACTCTCACACACACACACACACACACACACGTCCGCTGGCTCTGAGATATGTGATGCGAGGACTGGCCTTTATTAAAAGGCTTTATTGTTAAGCTGCCCATTTTTTCCATTGCCCGTACATGGAGTGCCGTGAGCAGTGATGTTGCACATGCCTTCTAACTATAGATTATGTGTGCTGTCACTTATTTAACACACAGGGCCTCACAAACATCGCTCTCATGAAGTCATCCCATCAGACTCCACACTAGAAGTCACTTGTTCATTCCAGCATGTTTTCCTAATCTAACCTTTTTATTGTATGAGAAACAAAAGAGGCAGAATAGAGCAAATATACGACAATCAGTGGTTAAAGATCAAAACCCACAGATCTGTCAAAGTTTAGCTGGGATCTTTCGCAGTGGCACTTCAGACCACCCCTGCTGGACTACGATGGACCTACACAAAACCACTCAGAATACACCTGTCTTTATAATGATCAAATACTCAGATTTACATGAGAACTACCTGTTTGGCGTCTTTACTAGTGAACTAGGACTGAGAGCCGAACTAACAGACGGCTAGATGCTTATATACGGTCTGCGCCTAACGGGGCGGGGCTTAGCAGTTCGGAAGTGCTCTGTCATTGGTCAGGTGAGCGTCGAGTCATCAGAGGCGGAAGTTCAGAGGTCTCGCAAACCAAAGGTCGGATAATCGTGGATTCCACTGTAAACAGCGAGTTTGCGTCGCGTTTTCTGTGTTCGCGCTCGATCTGAGCGGATGGGGCTTTAGCTGTGGCGTTGGTTCGACTGGAGATGTTTGGATGTCGTCGCGGCTGATATTTACAGTCACTCGGGCGAACGTAAAGCGCTGAAGTGAGTAAATAGTGGCACACAGTCAGTGCTGAATCTGATCGACTCGCATCATCTGAGTGAACACTGAGCTCTGGAGGTGATCTGCTCTAATGATCGGTGACAGATGAACACGGCTGTATTACTGACGCCTTCACACACGATTCATTCATTCATCAACAAGTGTGCTGCTTAATAACCCAGTAGGGGTTCAATCTTCTACTGGCTGGCAGGAGCCGCCACTGGCAGGTCACGTGATCTGCCTGGCGGCTGGAAGTCCGCTGTCAGGAACCATTGATTTATGGCAGATTTATGTTGCTCTCCTTCCACTCTATACGGGAATAATAATATAATTTTTTTTATTGTACATCTGTTCATATGACTTTATTCTTTTACATATTCTATGTTTTATGGAGTGATGTGGAACCCGTTCAATTCGGAGCTGAAAGTGACTGGCTGCACTGAAGCGGCAGTAACCCACCAGTCCGGATCACGGTCATTTGAACACTTTATTTGTGATAAACCTCCCTAAAATGTCCACAGTTTAAAAGACTAGACTTATAATAATATATAAATAATCATAAAATAATATAGTAAATTGCAGAGACAGTGGTAGGGAACACATTAAACTCGGAGCGCTCTTGCGGCATGCCGATTGAGCAGCCAGTGCAAGCGGCAATAACCTGCCAGTCCGGATCACGGCCATTTGAACACTTTATTTGTGATAAACCTCCCTAAAAATGTCGATCATGTAAAAGAACAGACCCATAAGAATGAATTCATAATCATAAAATAATATATTTCCTTGCAGAGAGAGTGGTAGAGAACGTGTTATACTGGCAGCTTCATAGCGGCTGGCTGGACTAAAGTGTCAGTAACCCACCAGTCGGGATAACAGTTATTTGACCACTTTGATTGGGATAAACCTCCCTAAAACGTATATCATATAAAATGATAGATTCATATGAATATAGCCTATACATAATAATAATGCAACGGTTTTTCTTGCAACGGGAGTGGTAGAACGCGATAATCTTTAAGTTTAACAGTGACTGGCTGGATGAGCGGCCAGCGAAGCGTCAGTAACCCACCAGTCAGGATCACGGCAATTTGACGGCTTTAATCGGGATGAATCTTCCTTAAACGTCAATCATATAAAATAATAGATTCACACGAATGCATTAATAATAATAAAAAAATGAATTAAATTGTAGTGAGAGTCATATGGAACGCGTTAAACTCGCAGCTCAATAGCAGCTGGCTAGACTGAAGAGTAGGCAACCCACCAGTCGGGATCACGATCATTTGACCACTTAAATCAGGATAAAACCCCCTAAACCATATATGATCTTAAAGAATAGATTAATGAGAATATATTTATAATAATAATAATAGTAATGCATTTCCTTGCAGCTAGAGTGGTAGAGAACGCGTCAAAATTAGAGCTCAATTGCCACTGGCTGGACTGAGCGGCCAGAACAGCGTCAGACCCACCAGTCGGTGTTACGGCCATTTGTCTCCTTTATTCAGGATAAACCTCCCTTATACGCCTATGATATTAAAGAGTACATTCATAAGAATACATTAATAATAATAAAACAATTAATTTCATTGCAGTAAGAGTCCCCCCAGCCACTGGCAGGTCACATGACCTGTCAGTGGCAGCTCCTGCCAGCCAGTTGAAGACTGAACCCCCACTCTCATAACCCGTCATAACACTTCATAACCCGTCATAACGCTTCGTAACCCGTCATAACACTTCATAACCCATCATAACGCTTCGTAACCTGTCATAACACACCATAACACGTCATAACACTTCATTACCCTTCATAACGCATCGTAACCCTTCATAACGCTTTGTATCCCATCATAACGCTTCGTAACCTGTCATAACACTCCGTAACCCATCATAACGCTTCGTAACCCGTCATAACACTTTGTAACCCGTCATAACCCATCATAACACTTCGTAACCCGTCATAACGCTCTGTAACCTGTCATAACGCTTCATAACCCGTCATAACGCTTTGTAACCCGTCATAACGCTTCGTAACCCGTCATAATGCTTCGTTACCCTTCATAACGCTTTGTAACCCTTCATAACGCATTGTGACCCTTCATAACTCTTCGTAACCCATCATAACGCTTCATAACCCATCATAACGCATCGTGACCCTTCATAACTCTTCGTAACCCATCATAACGCATCGTAACCCTTCATAACGCTTCATAACCCATCATAACGCATCGTGACCCTTCATAACGCTTTGTAACCCATCATAACGCATCGTGACCCTTCATAACGCTTCGTAACCCGTCATAACGCATCGTAACCCTTCATAACGCTTTGTAACCCGTCATAACGTATCGTGACCCTTCATAACTCTTTGTAACCCATCATAACGCATCGTGACCCTTCATAACGCTTCGTAACCCTTCATAACTCTTCGTAACCCATCATAATGCATCGTGACCCATCATAACTCTTCATAACCCGTCATAACGCATCGTAACCCATCATAACTCTTCGTAACTCGTCATAACGCATCGTGACCCTTCATACCGCTTTGTAACCCTTCATAACGCATCGTGACCCTTCATAACGCATCGTGACCCTTCATAACGCATCCTAACCCTTCATAACGCATCGTAACCCTTCATAACGCTTCGTAACCCTTCATAACGCTTCGTAACCCTTCATAACGCTTCGTAACCCTTCATAACTCTTCGTAACCCATCATAATGCATCGTGGCCCGTCATAACTCTTCATAACCCGTCATAACGCATCGTAACCCATCATAACTCTTCGTAACTCGTCATAACGCATTGTGACCCTTCATAACGCTTCGTAACCCTTCATAACTCTTTGTAACCCATCATAACGCATCGTGACCCTTCATAACGCTTTGTAACCCGTCATAACGCATCGTGACCCTTCATAACTCTTCGTAACCCGTCATAACGCATCGTAACCCGTCATAACGCTTCGTAACCCATCATAACGCATTGTGACCCTTCATAACGCATCCTAACCCTTCATAACGCTTTGTAACCCGTCATAACGCATCATAACCCGTCATAACGCATCGTAACCCTTCATAACTCTTCGTAACCCTTCATAACGCTTTGTAACCCGTCATAACGCATCGTGACCCTTCATAACTCTTCGTAACCCATCATAACTCTTCGTAACCCTTCATAACGCTTCATAACCCCTCATAACGCTTTATCTGCTGCTGTTTCATCCAGTGTTTTCCTCTCAAGTCAGGCTCCATTTGTCGTTCTCACAGGGTTCACTGCGCTAAACTGAGATTTCAGCTCTCATGAAGCACCTGATTCTGTCATATTTCTGTCATATTTCATCTGTCACTGGTAATGAAGAGATGAGGCTGCAGACTGTAGTTTCTGCTGTACAGTATTACTGAGTCATTTGGACACTGATAGAGATTTATAGACTCCCTTGTGAAAAAGAAGTGCACTTAATTGTATTTAATGTGCACTTGTAGTGTACTTCATATCTTATAAATATATATCTTTTTTTTAAAACTGTACTTGCAGGTCATATAATATTAATGAAACTTAATGCCACTTAAGTGACGTAAAGAGAAACACTTTCATGACTATGTTTATGCACTTTGTAATAATGTCAAATGAAAAGGTTTACTTTAAAGTGCATTTTAATGGTTTTTATCATGTTTTGTCATGCTTTAAAGAAGTACACTTTATTTGATGTTGACTAGCGTACTAAAGCACATGTAAAATATTTATATTTATAATTAATAATTATAGTTTTAACTGTAGTGTGTTATTCAATATTACATTTAAAGTTAGTATTTTAAATTTAAAATTGCAACTTCGTCTTTATAAATAAATGTAAACGTGTTTAAATACACAACGTACATGATTGATAGAAATAACATTAAAGTGTATTTTAGTTTCTTATAAATGCTTGTCAGCACATTCAGTCTCATAAAAAGGCACAAAAGCTGTCACTGTGACGGTAATCTTTAAAAGGTACACATTTGTACCTCATTTACTTGCATTTTAGCCTCAAAAGTGCATATTTA